CTGGGGAATGGAAAATTTTTTACCTTTTCCCAAAAAGCAGTGAAATCTTGCACGTGCACAATCGTTTTACCATCTGACAGCAGCGGAGGGTTGCACTGTGAGATCTCATCAAGTAACAGAAAGTTCTACAGAAAAAGGAAACAAAGAGAAGGTTTAAGCTACAGGAACAAAGCACAAACAAACGAATTGCTTCCTTGGAATTTGCAATAAAAACCTTTATACAGCCTAAACATCATTTACAACTATTTCCTGTTGGTACACACCAAAAATACTAATATACAGGATAGAATACACTATTAGAGCATGCAGAATATATAAGCATACAACAGAGTATATCTAGTCCTAATATGTATTGGGTGTGTGTTTATATAGAAGAGTTCCAGGCCATAAGGCTCAGTGCAACTTTCTCACCAACTGTACTAGTTCTTCCCCTAAAGAGAAAACATGGCTCCAAACTTGAACACGTTTAGAACCTGGACATTTCTATTGTTTTACTTTTGGTTTACTAACAATAAACAGGGGAGTAGATGGGAAATGATTCCATAAATATTTACTGAATCCCACCACGTGTGAAGCACCATGCAGCAGACCAGGAACACAGAGGAAGGCCGTCCCCGGCCGTCAGGAATCAGGGGAGCACAGGACATCCTGGGAATACAAAACCTACAGCACAGACGCCAACTCAAAGCCCCACACGCTCTCTGCTTCAGTCCCCGTGCGCAGCAAATCCGCATCACTGCCAGTCACTAGCTAGCACTTAGGTCATCCTTCTTTAAAGAACGAGTTTCTACTTCAAAAAATATTTTACCAGCATCTTTTTGTAAAGTATATTTTTATTTAAGTATAGTCAGTATACAGAGCTGTGTCAGTCTCTGGTGCACAGCACAATACTTCAGTCATATAGGAACACACATATGTTTGTTTCCATGCTCTTTTTCACCGTAAGTTACTACAAGATGTTGAATATGGGTCCCTGTGCTGCACAGTGTGAATTTGTTTACAAGTATCTTTTTCACTTGGGTCTTCTCCGTAGTCAGCGCCTCTCTCCTGGACCGCAGGAAGGGCCACAACTTCCGCTCCCTGCTTTTCACACTACTTAGCAGCTACTCAGTGCAATTCAGCTGCATAAAACCAAGTCCTGAGAACCAACACAAAGCTAAGGGTCATCAACAGGGAAACTCCCTCTTACCCCGCACGTGCTGGACACAACTTTGCAAAGGAAAGACACAGGCTACAGACGTGGAGTAAACAACTGAGCGCCCTCACTGCTCCCCCCCCGCTCTCCACCCAAGAGCTGTGAGCGTCCTCAAAGCCTGCTCTCATTCTCCTGGAACAAAACCCTGGTTCTGAGTTGGCGCCTGGCAGCCTAGAAGGAGCCCCCCTCTCTCCAGCCTCCTGTGCAGATAGTTGTAGCCATGTGACTAAATCCAGGCCAGCAGAAAGGGACCACAGCCAGGAACCTTGCCCCTTCCCAAGGCCAGGCCTTGGAGGCTGCCGGCTTGGTCAAGGCTGCATGCAGAGGAGTAAGGAGAGGAAGAGTCTAGGTCCCTCTCACCTCAGGGGATCACACGAGCCATGGGATTTGTTATGGGGGGCACTGTATCCCCGCCATCAAAGGATATGTTGAAGTTGTAACACCAGGTACCTCAAAATGTGGTCATAGCACAAGTATTCAATTAAGATGAGATCATACTGCATAGGGTGGGCCCTGAATCCAACAGGACTGGTGTTCTTACAGGGAAAAAAAAAGAGATGCTAAGGGAGCCACACAGGTAGACACACAGGTAGAGGTTGGAGTGATTGTAGCTTCGAGGGAAGGCAGGCCAAGGATTGCCCGCAACCACCAAAAGCTACAAGAGGGAAGGGAGGATTCCCCCTTATACGATTCAGAAGGATCATGACCGTGCAGACACCGGGATTTCAAACATCCAGCCTCCAGGACTGGGAAATAATTCCTATGATTCGGAGCTACTGGTTTGTGTACTTTGCTACGGCAGCCCCAGAGAACCCACACAAAGCCTTACAAGGATTCTTGTGTAACAGAAACAAGCTACCTGTGTAAGCAGACGTAACGTGGGTAACTCTAGGACCCACAGGCAAACCGAAACCCCACGAATACGGCGTGGGGGAAGGGGAAAGGGATGAAACAGGCACCTGAGGATGTTTGAGAAAAAACACACGAATAGTAACCCACTGCCTAAAACTCACAAACACCCTTCGAGTCCTTGACACGCTAGACGATCATGCCCCAAAGCTACAAATTTGATAGCAAAGTTCTACTTCAGAAGAACAACTGGTAAAAACCGAGCAGGCAAAATGACTTCCATGCAGGAAAAGGAAAATATGATTCTTGCATTTCTCTGAAAGTCCAGCTGGCACGAGACAAGATCCGCTCCCTCACGCCTCCTTTCGTCCAGGCTCCGAAGAACCTTGAGACCAGGCACCGCTACTCCTGCCCCCAGCCCGTGTCCAGCAGGGCGACGGGATGGACAGGCGGTGCTGAGGACGCGTCTGCAGGCTTTCAACCACCACAGCCCGATCTCTCCCTCCACACCACCTCTCCCCTCACCAGCCAGGTACGAGCCTGCTGCAATTCATCTCTCTCCCAATTCTCCTTTCTCCTTGAAACGTAATTTCAGAATCTCACTTACTATTGATCATTTCAAATACTGACACAATGTTCTTTCACTGGTTCCTTCCCCAGCACTCCCCTACACCACCGAACCTGTCCCAACACCACTCCATCCTGACCCCTCTCCGGCACCCCTGAGAATGTCCACCGGGCTGAAAACCCTCCAGCGACCCAGCAGCACCTAAGTCCACAGCCCCCAAGTGGCCTCCGCCTGGATCCCTGAGTACGGATCCCACCCATCGTTCCGGGAACCAGCTCAGGATGTCCTGGGCTGGCACTGCCCTCCCTACCTCTGATCCCCACTGTGATGTTGCGTCACAGAGAAGGGAGACACTACGTCATTCACCTACTTACAGACACAGTCCCAACCCCAACTGAGACCAAGCCTTGCACAGAGTTGGGCCATCGAGGGTGTCTGCCAAAGGAGGACAGACTGTATCACTAGCTCAAATCAGTCCAACCACTGACTGCATGGCTACAGCCTTACCCGGTCTGAGCTGATACAGCAACAAGCAAAAGGTGTATGTATGTTACACATCTTGTCTAGACAGAATCAAAGTCCAACTTCAGCTTACGCATACCACGGCATAAAAACTCAGTGCTCAGTGTGTGCATATTGAAAGAGAAACTCCCAGCTTTCAAATGGCTCCAAGAGAGTTAAATCTCACCTAATTGGAACACAGTGACACCGTATAAAAGGAAGCATTTTACATAAAGTCCACCTACAACAAAGAAAACCTATTTGTCATCAAACCTTGATTCTTCGGATGCTGACGACGGCCTCTGACACCTTCTCAATGGCCGAAGGGAAGAAGAGGGTGACCGTCAACCGCACAGCCCCGTACAGCGTCACCGCCACAAACACGCGGCTGGCTGTGATCATGTTACCAAGGAGCACATAGGCAGTGAAGGTAACAAAAACGATGATTTTGCTTGCAGTGAAAAATGACGCCAAATTCATTCCTCTAAGGTACGAACTTCTCAGAATCTTAGAAATTTCCTTCCTGGAAGAGAAGGGTAGGGGTTTTATAGGAAGCGTCGACATCCATGTCATGAATTCAAATGCCCCATGCGAGTGGCCCATTTTAAGGGAGTGGGCACAGATCAACATAAACCTCCCCCCACATCATGGAGATAAGACAGTGCACACTGGGGGTTCCGCCCCGACACAGGGACTACAGACTTCATCACCACTTCACTCATCCAACTACAAGGAGACAATGTTGCACTTTCAAACATTTTGGGTCAATCAGACTGGTTCTGACCCACTCAACAGTATTTGTCAGCCTAAGTTTTGCGCCAGGCACAGAAAGACACAGCCCGACCCTTCCAGGAGCTCATGAACTAGTAAGAAGAGAATAAGCAACCCTAAATTATGAGGCCCAGAGACGTCAGACAGAGGCAGCCAGCACAGCCCCCGTGGGAGCACAGGGCAGTGGAGTCAGGGCAAGTCTCCAGCACGTGGAACCTGAGAGCATGACCTGAAGGCAGTCAGGCTGGGCAGAGTCCAGGGAATAATGAGGAAGAGAGTGTATTCCAAGCAGAGGGAGGTGCACCCGCAAAGGGGAAAGTGGGAGAGGTGGCAGGTGCTACCAGAACATTCCAAGTACCCTGTGCTGGAGGATAAAAACTCACTGGATACTTAAACAGAAGATGGGAAAAAAATTCTACAAACATACAGAAAAGCAAAAAGGAAGAGTATCCTCATGACTGTTTAGAATGAAGAATACTCACTCATAAAGTCTGGCCCGATGCTGGTACCCGGATCTCTGTAATCTCCTCATTTGTGCTACATTAGCATAAATTAGTTTTAGTTTAAAAGCCATCACCTCAAATACTAACCAGTGCTTGTTCAGGATCTGTAGTATTAAGCATTTGAAAGTTTATTTCTATACAAGGAAGAAGCATGTACACTTACTCCTTTAAGAAGCAGATTAAAATGACATCTCCACTATTCCACGTAACCCTACTGTCATATGCAATGGGTAGATGGATGGTATTTAAATTCACCTGAATGTGAAAACTTAGTAAGACTTCTAAGTCACTCAGTAAACACAGGAAATTTAAAAAGCACGAAACTAGCGCGCGATATACACAGAAACACATAAACATACCTTCTCAAATTGGTGATGAGGTCTGCAAAAGACTTTTCCCAAGCATACATTTTTATTATCCTGATGCCAGTTATCACTTCATTCATGGTCCTGATCCTGACGTCTGTGAAAGCTGCGGTCTTACTCCTGAAAGGGACACACGTGAGAGGTGAGCCTCAGTGACCACGGTCCAATTCCCTTAGTAGCAGCAGCAGCAGACACAGGCAGGGACCGGGGCTCGCACAATCCCCTACAGCTCTTGCGCTGACAACACAGGCAGGCCCTACTCAAAGTACAAATGCAGAGAAGGACTTCGATTAGGCAGCCAACAGTTCAGTCCAATTCAAGAAGTCATCTGGAGAAATTGTGGTCTCAGCTAAGGAGGGCCTGAAATGAGTCAGATACCAACTGTCCGCGTCAGGAGGTCACGGCTGGGGAGGGAAGGCGGAAAGGCACCCAAATGTAACAGGACAGTGGCTGTGTGTCATAAAACAGGAGTCAAGTGATGGGGAACAGGAAAGATGGGGCTGTTCATGCCACCAGGAAACAAGAGCAAGAAATCCCCCCCATTCCCAGTAGGAATAGGGCCCCGAAGGATTGGAACATCTCTGCATGGCAAATCTGCATGGCGAAGAGAGGAAAGGAAACCCCACGTCGAGAAAAATGCTATGCATAAAGGCACCGGAAATAAATACATACACACATACACAAAAAAGGCCCCCCCCAAAAGAAAAAAAGTCTCAGTGCACTTCAAACAGCACAACATCTCCATGACCTGAACTCCAACCCTCTGGACCTGCCTCATCACCGTCAGGCTCTTCCTCACCAGCCATTTCTCTATCACACGTGCTGCTGGGACCAGGGGCCTTTATAAAGACATAGTTACGGTCGATCTTGCCCTTGGGCGCTGATAACTTACTGCATTGAATTAAAAAACAACAGGTAAACATGTAACACCTGAAGATGGCCCTCACACAAAGTTTAACAAAAACATATGCAGCTAGAAATGGGCCTGTAAGGTTATTATTTTTAATAACGTTTAAATCACTTCAACATCGGTAAATCCTGCCTAAGGACACAACATGCATTGAGGTCTGGTGCCGGGGGAGCCAGCGCATGCCTTCCCGTTTCTCGCCTCGAGATCAGCCACTGGCATGAGGCTGGAGCCGCCCCCGGCTAAGCCGGAAGGGTCTACAGAGTGCACAGCAGGCATCACTGAAGGCATTTGTTTTAGATTTGAACAGAAGCGTTAAGAAGACTGTGCCTGTGACCAAATACACACCACCTATTTTTTAAACCAGTGTTTCTCTTACCGGAGTGATGAAAACAACTTCCCGATGCAGCTTTGCAAAGGCAGAAGAATAATTAGGATTGCCATCCCGGCAAGACATGAAATTCCTACTTCCATCCAGAGCAGGACGGTCACTAGCACAGCCTGCAGTGGCCCTGCCCACAGAAAGTGCAAGAAGATCGTTACCTTAAAAGAAAAAGACAAAGCCTTCTCAGAACTGTGTCAAAACAAATTCATTAAGGACACAGGATAGAAGCAACCGGCTCTGAAGGAACAGAAAGGAGCCTGAACAGAAATGACCACTGCGGGTTTCAAAGCCACTGAAGCAGAAATCCGAGCACCCACCACAGACGAAGCTGTTCCGGGAGCACAGGGTCAGCTTCAGGGACGTCCACGGAGAACCAGTCCCACGACATTGGTCTTGATTTTGTCTAGATGAACTCAGGGCTCCCCCAAGTTCTCTCTGCCCCAACATTCAGCACCCCCCTCCCCTGGGGCTACCCAGCACGCTAGGAAAGCCTGTATTACGGTACACACCACACTGTCCAGTAATTACTTCTGTATGTATCTCCCGGACAAGCTGTGGCTTCTCCAGGGCAGAAACTAAGCCTATTCATCCCCGAAGCTGAGCAGGGGCTTGATCTCATGTTTGATGAATAAGTAACTGAGACAGAAGTGTCTACAGCAATACTGATCGGACCAACAGCTACAATCTTCTGGATAATGTGATCTATTCATGAGTTAAGAGTGTGAGACAGCAGAGTAAGTTGCTCCTGGCTAGGGACCACCCATTGGCACCACTGATCGAAGGCTGCCTGTGCAGCAGGCACTGTGCAGGGCTCAGGGAGAAGGATGGTCCATGCCCACCAGGTGCCCATCATCTAGAGAAGTAAGACAGTTCAGGCAGCAACACTGACACCGCGAGCCAAGAGGACCACCCAGGAGGACCCTCGGGTACACTAACCAAGCTGGGCAAGAACACTGCTGCCTATTTATTACTGAAGTTATGTCACAGGCAACATTAGAAAAACAGAACTCTCGTGCACAGACCAACACACATTATTGCATTTAATCTGAACACAAAAGCAATGTGCATTGGATAAAAAGAACCCTTGCCTTCTGTCCTCCACGGAAGGACACTGGCACCTGGCATCTCAACGAGCTAAACCAAGGAAGAAGGGTGGTAAAAGAAAGAGGATCCCTTAGGGGCAGCTTACCTGATCAAACTTGTTCACATCGTTGGACAGCAGATTGACTATCTGGCCTGTGGTGGTCTTCCCCATGGCCACATTACTCAGGCGAAGTGCCTGGAATGAGAAAGGGAAACAGAATATTGGATTCCTACGGTACCACCAAGTCATTCTTAGAACGGAGCAAAATGGTACAGTTTTCACAGGGTCTTGAGTGGTGTCAGGACAAGCAGGATGACCCCTGACAGTGGAGACCCACATTCAGCCTTCAACTCCTCCAGTGTGGCCGCAGCCACGCCCCACAAGAGCAGCAAAGGGAGGATAGAAGGTAGAAGCAAAATCCCCCCATTTTTTGATGAATTCAGACATGCCCAGAGTATAAAGGGCGGGAGGATTATACATAGGAGCCAACTAACATATTTGGAGTTAAATTCAATGAGAGATGCAAGGCTGCCTTGCAGAAAGAAATTAGGGGATTTACACTATCAATCTGTAAATCAATCATTAATTCTGGGTGTGATGTCACTGAAGCACTCTGGTCTCAATTCTCTCATTCTTTGAATGGAAATCACCCCTCACTGTGCATAAGACCATGATTCCTATAAGAACGAACTGCCAAATATTTATTATCCATTATGTGGAGAACACCAGGTGCTCCAGGAGACAAAATGGCTGGTGAGTCACGTCTTTCTGTCTTTGGAGATGGGATAAGACATGTACCAACACCTGTAATTCAAGTGTGAACTGAACAGTAGTAGATACACCAGCGCAGGGAACTGGGGAAGGTTTCAGCTGAGCTGTGACACTGCGGGAAGGACCGAGTGTGGATGATGAAGAAGAGAAAATTTATGGAGAGAAAGGAAGGGCACTGTGGGTGAGAGGAACCCACGCAGGGAATAGGAGAGGGAAAATGTGGAGGCAGCTGGGTAAACACCCAAAATCTGGCTAGAAAGGTGGGCTGGGAAACAGCCAAAGACTTCGGAAGGCAACACGGAACAGTGGCTGTTTTTTCATGTCAGAGTAACATATGAGATGTGAGCCCTGGGACTGGCCTGGCTTTCTCCCTGGGGGCATCGTCTACCCGAAGACAACTGCGATTTGACTGAACTGAAGAGGAAGAGACGGCTGCTCCAAGTTGCATTAACGTCTGGAATTTGTGGGCAGGAGTAACAGAAGGTAGGACCTCTGACAGAGGTAGAAGTTTTTATGGGGATTTCCCAAGGGTGCTTTGCAAGAGCTTCACTGCCCGTGAGCAACGGGGACCCCGTGAGGCCTCGGAGATGTCATGCAGCACCCATAGACACTGTAGCTTCTGTCCAACTAGAAAAAGGAGATCTTCATAAGCTCCTCAGACGTTCATTCAGCTGAAGTGCCAGGAAGGCCACAGTAAGATCACACTCCAGAGTAAGAGCCATACGCTTGGACTAAGTTCACAATGGAAATAACTGCCCAAGACACACAGACAGACAGAGAACAAATGAACCAATTCTGCCAGGATCAATCTACTGGGAATTGCCCATAAGGACCAGACTCAACGCCTTTTCATCCAGACTCCCTATAATGTATCCTTCACAACATCCAACATAATCAGACAATTATTAGACATGCAAAGAAGAAAGCTGTACCCATAATCAAGAGGGAAAAATACAAGTGGACCCTAAGATGATCCAGATTTGGAACTAGTAGACAAGACTATAAACAACTATGTTCCTTCATCAGTGTTTCAGTTTTTAGAGTGTAGGTGGCTTTCTTGATTAGCTTTGTTTCTGGGTGTTTTGTTGCTTTTGATGCAATGGGAATGTTTGTGCCAGTTGTAGAGTTCTGGATTTTGAAGTGAAGAAAGAGGAGGGTGAGTGAGGGGCCGCAAATGGCAGAATATCCTTCTTTCTTGTGGGTGAGTTGTGTTCCATTACATACAAATGCTGCATCTTCTTTACCCATTCATGTATTGATGTGCACTTGGGATGCTTCCATATCTTGGTAATTATAAATAGTGTTGCTATTAATAGTGGGGTGTATGTGTCTTTTTTAATTGATTCTTATTTTGTGGTTGGTTTTACTCCTCTGATAACTATGCAAGTTTGGAAAGCTGAAGCTCTGCACATTCTTGGAAACAATGAGCAGTACATATATGTAAACTGAAAAAAAGTATGTGGGGTGTATTGTGTATATGTGCTTGTATGCAGTATATTGTATATGTGCAGTCAAATTGTGACAATTCTACCTAATAAAACTGAAAAATGAAACAAAATATGGTTGTAACAGTGAATGAATGGGCAATTTCAGGACAGAGATGGTATCATCAAAAAGAACCAAATGGGAATAACAGAAGTAAAAAAGTACAACCTCAAAAATTCACTAGATGACTTTATAGCAGATAATCCCATTTATCTGTGCCCAGACTCATAAAGCTTTCTTTTAGCTTACAATCTAATGAACAAACAGAAAACAGAGACTGCGTGCAAGATGGATTGAAAAAAGACTAAGGTTCAATGGACAACACAAGCCCTGAAGCACCCGTAATTGGATGACAAAATACGGAAGAAAAAATATATATTTGAAGGAATAATGGTTCAAAATGTTCCAAGTTTGGTAGAAAATATTAACACGCATACCTAAGAATGACAGCAACCCCCAAGGATGTGCCTATGGCACGTTACCTACAGAGGAACAACACAACTGCAAGCTGACTTACCAGAATCCATGGAGACAAGAAACACAGCATTTACCAAAGGAAACAACATTCTGTAACCATGTGTGCTGATGGGTGTTCACTATATTTTCTGTGGTGATCATTTTGCAGTATGCACAAATACTGAATCATTATGCTGCATGCCACATGCTATATGTCAATTTTACCTCAATTTTTAAAAAAAGGAGAAAAGGAGACAGTGAAGAAAAGAAGTGCTGAGAGTGCTGAAAAGAAAACAGCAGAATTCTATAACCAACAAAAATGTCCTTCAAATGATGAGGGTGATATTATGACATTCTCAGGTAAACAAAGTCTGAGAGACTTTCAGCGGATAAGAAAGTATAAAAGATGTTCTTCTTAAGCTAAAGGGAAACAGCACCAGGTAGAAAGGCATAGATGTACAAAAATAACGAAAAACCAAGCTGGCAAATAAGTAAGTAAACACAAATTCTACCTTTCTTTTTAATTTATTTGAAAAACGGCTGCTTAAAGCAAAAAAAAAAAGGTTAACACTGCATTGTGTATGTGGATGTAAAAACGTGTAAACAACAATAGCACAAGGGACTGGGAACAGCAATAGAATGTTACTACTATGTTTCTTATATTTTACGTAAAGTGTCCCAATATTAACTTACAATAAAAAACTGTAATAAGATGCCTATTTTAATCCCTAAAGCAACATTAAAAATACAGGAGATAATGCTAAAAAGCAAAGGAATCAAAATGGAGTACTAAAATATAGCTAACTGACTGAAATAAGTCCGAGTAGAAAAAAAGAACAAAAGCAGGTGAAACAAAATAGAAAGTAGTAAAGTGAAAGGCTTAAACCCAATCACATCAGTATTTACACTTAATGCAGAGACTAACACTCCAATTAAAAGCCAGAGACTGTCACACAGGATTAACAAAAGAAAGACCCAGCCTGCTGTACAAGTGAGATTCAATTTAAATAAAGTAAAAGGAAGGGAAAAGATATGCCAGGCAAACAGTAGGCACAAGAAGCCAGGTGTGGCTATATTATCATCAGATAATGTTGATTTTGAGACAAGGAATTAAATTACCAGAGATTAAGAGGTACATTTCATAATAATATGGTAGTCAATTCACCACTCCTAAGTGTGTATGGATCTAACTACAGAGCTTCAACATATATAGGACAAAAAAAGACAGAACTATGGAGAAAAATCAGAAAACCCCTCAATCATAACAGGAGATTTCAACATCCTTCTTCTCAGTAATTATTACAAGTAGACCAAAAGTAAATCAATAAGGATACAGAAGATTTAGATAGTAAGTAACCACTTTAATCTAACTGACAGTGATGGACCACCAGACACAATTGTAGGACAATTTTTTCAAGTACACATTGTAAGTTCACCAACATAGACCATACGCTGGGGCCATAAAATAAATCTCAGTAAGTTTCTAAATGTAAAAATGTTACACAGAACGTTCTCTGTTGACAAAAGAATTAAATTAGAAATCAGTAAGATATCTCTTAAAAGCCAACTATTTGGAAATTAACCATACATTTCTAAATAACTACGGGCCACAAAAAAATATCACAAGGGAAATAAGAAATATGAGTAATCAATTACATCTCTGTTGCCCTCAGGAGCTATCAGCTAGCTGAGTGCACAGAACTGTTGCATTCATTCATGTCATCATGATCATAAAATTAGCTACCATTTAGTGAGCAGATACTGCATATCAGACGCTGAATAGGAAACAACCCTACAAAGTAAAAATTATTCCTATTTTGCAGATAAGAAAATAAGCTGAAACTCTTCACGCCTGACAGAGAATAGGCACTCTTTTTTTTTTAATAAAGCAAAGTTACCACTGTTCCTCATTAATGCAGAGAACTAAAATTTGCTCTAATAACATGTATGTGTTACAGTCAAAAACTATTCACATCCAGTATAGAGATAAACAACATACAAATTAATGCTAATGTTTTGGTTTTCTATTTGCTTAAGTTGACATGCTATAAAGGGATATTATTTGGTTAAATTTTCCTTGTGAAAACAAAATAGTTCCACCATTAGAACAATAAAAGGCAAACAAAACAAACTAGAAACAATATTTGCACCATATATGACAGACCCAAAATTAATCTCTTTAATAAATCAAGAGCATGTAAATACCAAAAGAATTACAAAAGCGTACCATTTTTTTTTTAAAGGGCAAAGAATATGTGCAGGAAAGCCACTTTGGAAAAACACAAACGGCTAATGAAAATCTGCAAATACTCAAATCCAAAAATCCTCAAAACATCCATGCTTGGCAAGGGTGTGGGGACATCTTGTTTTAATAGAATTTAAACAGTTAACTCTAGAAGGAAATCTGGTACACTAAAAGGCTTCAAATGTATACACCCTGAGAAATAAAGGATGTCCCCAAAGGTGCAGTTTCAATCAGGTTC